GGGGACCGTTGTTCCTGGGGTGTGACTAAAACCGTGACTATAGCAAAAGTATAAGCCAAGGTCTTAGAAATTTATTTCCAAAAATTTTGTTCTAAGGCGAACACAACAAAATTCGATCAAGATTTTTACTCCTGCAACTCTGTTGGTTGTCTTTTGCGCTAAAACGAAATGCAACATATGTCTGGAACTCCCTTCCCGGCCCTACCCTATTGAGTTCCTTTTTGCCCATACCCCAGAGTCTGTACGGATGGACGGAGTAAGCTGACGTCATAACCAGATTTTCTGGCATCGATCGCGACAGGTTTAAAAAAGAAATTAACTGCAACAACCACGGGCGACGATCCAGCATGTTGTCAGGTTTACTGAAGAAGGCAGGTATGGCCAGCCGAAATACTGTTATGAGAAAGCAATATACGTTGTTATGATCAGCTTTGCTTTGGTGTCTCTTAGTTCGTCTCTCACCATGGGCTATAGGCAACATGAGTTTCGACTAAATAAAGGTTACATTGTCGTTTCTGGTCATTTCTGCCCATATATTTCTTGTAGTAAGGCCTGGAAACATGCATGGTTTTGATTCGGAAGTCGATCTGCAGAAATGACTAGAAACTACAAAAGACTACTTCAAAGTAAGTAATTTAACTTTATTAAATTAAAATTTAACTGCTATTTAGTCAAAACCCATGCTCTCACGGTTAAGTACTTTGTACTGATTTACCCCATTTAAAGAAAAAAGTAAGGTGTTTCCGGCCAGATTTGAACTGGCGACCTTCCGCGTGTGAGGCGGACGTGATAACCACTACACTACGGAAACCACTGTTAACAAATGTTGTACTGTTTATTTGTTTTGTTTGTTTTGAATCTATGTAAGATAAACCAGGAGCCGGATGAACAAAGATAAGGCTGGAGGGGTATTGCGCTAATTTGCGAAGGAAAAACATATTTTACAAACAGCAATAGGAAGAATTGCGAGGCGGCAATAATGGACCGAGTAATGTAATTTCAGTTGTTCAGTTAGTAACCTAGCCTTAAATTGAGTGTAAAGCCGAGGTTGACCTTGTTTTGATACAAGCCTCTTTTTTCTTGATCTTGTGTTCTTATGCAAATTATAGTTGAAAAATACAAGTTTGCATAAGAACAACAAGGGGCGCTTTCCATTTAGTCAAAATTTCCGGAATTTCCGGTTCGGCGGTAAATGGAACACGTTTCGTCGGTTCGTCCCTCTGGAAAATTCCCAGAAAAAGTGGAAAATCTAAAAAGGTGGGCCCGTTTTCCCGGTTGGAATTTCCGAACGGAATGTCGTGTTCCTTTTACGTTTCTCGTAGTTTGTACCAGTTCCAGGTTCACGGTCGGGCACCGCCACGTACCGGGGTTTACGACCAAATGGAACAACTTTTTACCAATCGGAAATTCCACTTTTGCTACCACCGAAATTTCCGGGTTTTTTTCCTAAATGGAAAGCGCCCAAGGTCTCGAAACAATACGTCACTCGCTCAAGGTGCGCCATTTTCAAGCACACCATGTACAAGTATTTTTCAACGCTAAAAGAAATGGTTCCCATTCACCAAACTTCAAAATTAAAACTTAATTCCGTTACGGAAAAGCCCAATCTTTGATCCATTTGTCGTTCGTGAAAATGTAAGAGACGGTTAAAAATGTCTTGTATATCTCTTTTAAAATTGGGCTTCACACTGAAAAAGATCGATTTGTCCGTATTTTCGAGTTTACAAAGATATTTCTTATCCTTGCCTGATTTCTTTCTTTTCAACAGAGCGTCCGCGCCCGCGAAGCGCGCGCAGCGGAGCCCCATACGTAAAGAAAATTGAAACCTATCGATCAAAAAAAAAGAAAGAAGTCCAAAGCAAAGCTGATCATAGCAGCGTATATTGCTTTTTCCTAACAGTATTTCGGCTGGCCATACCTGCCTTCTTCAGTAAACCTGAAAACATGCAGGATCGTCGCCCGCGGTTTTTGCAGTTGATTTCTTTTTCAAACCTGTCGCTGCCTGAAAATCTGGTTATGACGTCAGCCTACTCCGTCCATCCGTACAAGACTCTGGGTTATGGGTAAAAAGAAACTCAATAGGCGAGGGAAGGGAGTTCCAGACATTGCATTTCGTTTTGGCGCAAAAAA